TTTGCTTCACCTATTTGATTGTTTTTTTCCCCTTGGTTTTTTTTTGAGGGGGGTGGTTCTTTGAGAGATTTATTGATTTCTTCCAATTTTTTGTTTGTCTTTTCCTCCATCTCTTTAAGGGAATTTTTCATTTCATCTTTAAAGGTCTCCATCATCCTCATAAAGTTATGTTTAAAACATTTTCTTCTGCTTCTTCTGGGTTAGGATGATCAAGTGTTCCTGTTGTGTGATCACTGGTTTCTTCCTGCTGTGTGTTACCGTGTTGCTTTTTAGGTTGTTAGATGAATTGCATTGGCATCTACCTATCTCTTTCTTCACTTGGTGCCGGCAGTGTGTCTTTGCATCTTGGTCCAATCCCTGCAGTGGCTGTCTGTGTCTTTGGGAACTGTTCTAGGTCTACTCTGTCCTGTCACTGTCTTTGTCTCAGGGAGCCACTAAGGTCTCTCTTGACCTGCTCTCCTCGCCTGCTCTCTTGCTTTGCTCTCTTGGTCCTCTCTGTGTAACTGAGACTGTGTTTCAGAGATCCACTGAGGTTGCAGTGTGGATAGGAGGTTTGGGGGCAGAGTGGGACTTGAAGGTTGCAGGGTCAGATGAATGGGATAGGGGTATTGGAGCAGCCTACTTCAAATCTATGTTCTTTTATGTGGCTCAGTTACCTTTACTGTGGTCTGCCCATCCTGCTTCCTCTGCATCTGGCTGATGACTTACCTGCCTTTCTTCCCGTAGACCTTTCTCCCCAAAGTCCCACTAACTTCTTTCTGCCTAGCTACTGGCCATTCAGCTATTTATGAAGCGAATCACAGTGACGTAATTTCACGCAGTGTAAAGGAATATTCTGCAACATTATTTTTTTCTTTTAAATTAAAATATAATTATGTAGTTTTTCTCTTCCCTTTTCTCCCTCAGCCTCTCTCTCTCCAACCTCTCCTGTACCCTACCCTGCTCCTTCTCAAAATTATGGCCTTTGTTTCTTTGTTATTGCTACACACCCACCCACATACGCCCATCCCTAAATACGTAAGTACAGTCTGCTCAGTCTGTAGTGTTACTTGTATGTATATAATTTCAAGGCTGGCCACTTGTTACTGGATAAACAAATTAAAGGGCTCACCCCGGGGGGAAATTATTTTCTTCTGCTCTCAGCTTTCTTTAGTTGCCTGTAGTTCTTTTTTTATGGGTAGAGCCACATGAGATTTCCCCTTTCATGTTATCACGTCTGTTGGTGTTGTGCTTCTGGGTTTTATCTAGGCAGCTGTATTGTTGAGGTGTCATGCATGAAGCTCACCTGTCATTTCTAGGAAACACACTGTCACAACAGCTTTCGGGTCCTTTGTGGCTGACATCATTTTTAGGAAATCATTGTTTAATCCAAGGTCATAAAGATTTGTGTTGTGTTTCTTAAAAGAGTTTTAGCTCTTACATTTAGATATATAATCAATTTTGAATTCATTTTTATATCAGGTGTGAGGTACAACTTGATGTGAATATTCAGTAGTCCCAGTACTATTCTTTCCTTGTTAAATTATTTTAGTACCTGTAGTGATTTGAATGAGAAATGTCTTGGGGATTTGAACAACTTGTGGTGCTGTTTGGGGAGGCTTAAGAAGTGTGACTTTTCTAGAGAAAGCATGTCAGGGTGGGCTTTTGATGTGGGAGTGTCATATATCAATCAGTTGATTTCATTGGTTAAGCAATAAAGAAACTGCTTGGCTGGCCCTCATAGGTTAAATCATAGGTAGGCGGAGTAAACAGAACAGAATGCTGGGAGAAAGAAGCTGAGTCAAGGAGTCGCCATGATTCTCCCACTCCAGGAAGACGCAGGTTAAGATCATTCCTGGTAAGCCAGCTCTTGGGCTACATAGATTATTAGAAATGGGCTAGTCCAGGTGCGAGAGTTAGCCAAGAAAAGGCTAGATATAATGGGCCAAGCGGTGTTTAAAAGAATACAGTTTCCATGTAATTATTTCGGGGTATAAGCTAGAGCTAGCCATGTGGGCAGTCGGGTGCCGGGGAAGCAGCCCGCTGCTCTTATTACAACAGGCTTTGAGAGCGTAGGGCCTAATTCCACTCCCAGTTCATTGCCTCTGCTTGCACTTCAGTTGAAGATGTAAGCTCTCCACATCCACTTCAGGTCACTCACCTGATTTATGCCCACACTTCCCCACCAAGACAGATTCTTTTATATATATAATTTACTTTTTATTTTATTTTAGACATGTGTGTTTTGACTCCACATATGGGTATGTACCACATGTGTGCCTGGTATCAGAGGAGGGCATCAGAGCCCCTGGAACTGGAGTTATGGATGGTTGTAAACCATTGTGTGGGTGATGAGAATTGAACCCTGATCCTCTGCAAGAGCAGCAGGTTCTCTTAACCACTAAGCCCACCATGACATATTCTTATCTTCCTAGAATCGTGTGGCGAATAGAAGCCTTTCTGCTGTAAACCGCCTTAGTTGCAGTATTCAATCACAACAGAAGAGTAACTAACATAGCACCTGTGCTGCCTGGAAGTCTGAGCTCTTGCTTCGTCTCCACTAGTCTCTGTTCCTACTGAATTTATGATAGAAGCACACTTTCTAGATTAAAATAATTTTGTAGTATTTTGTTAATTAGGCTGTGTGAGCCCTTCAACTTTGATTTTATGATATGATTTTTGGCTTAGATTACATCACTGGTTCCTAACATACAGCCCAAAGACTCCTGAGGAAAACGACTTTTGCTAACATTAAGTTGAATAAGAACACTAATAACAAAATGTCTTAGTGCATCCACCTTAGGGCACAAAAAGTGTAAAAGCAAGAGTGGGTACAACTGCTTATACATTAGTACTAACCAAGCAGGCAATCCCAAAGCATTCTAGAAGTCATACCCTTCTCTGTCTTTTCACTGTGCTGGGTTAAGGACTGAGAAGGAGGGGGGGCCCATTTCCCTCGATTGATGAAGCAATACAATTAACTTTATTAAATTTTAACTCTCGGATAAATGTCCTTTATTGTCTTTGTGGAACAGTAGAGCCTACTAGTTGTATTCCCAGCTATTTAGAAGGCCAAAATGAAAGGATCAGAAGCTAAGGCCTATCTATCCAGGATGAGTTCAAGGTCAGCCCCAGGAAGTTAGTGAAATCAATCTCAGAATAAAAGGTTTAAGAAGAGTAAAGATCAGTAGTAAAGTGCTTGCCTAGCATGTGAAAGACCCTACGTTCAATCTTAAGCACTAAAAGGAAGAAAAAAGTATGTATGTGTGTTGCTGATCGATGGAATTGTTCGTTTCAATCAACACTCATTAAGCACTTTACTATGTGCCAGACCACATTTGAAATGTCTGTTTTCACTTCCAAGTAGAAAATTCATGTCACACATAGATAGCATACTCAAGAGAAAATAATGACAAAATGAGAGTAACTAAAGGAGTTTTAGTTATTAAACACAAAAGCAACTCAGGAAAATATAATCAGGCAATCATTATAACGTTAGCACCTAACAGTTGCTTAGTACTCACATATGAAAGAACCTGCCAATAAGTACTAGGAGTTCAGTCACACGCCCCCAGCTGCATTCCCTCAGGAGTCCCTGCTTTCAAGCTGAGGTCATGCTTGCACAGAGCAACTCCAGCCAATGACTGATCAACAGTATGGGCACCAAGAATTGGCCACCTCTTAAACACAAAACTCCTCTAAAGACAGGCTTTGATCCCACTGTTTTACTTGGTCAATGGGAAACTCCGTCAGATCTACATGGCACTTCTGAGCTCTCCCTGACAATTCTACCTCCTCTCCCATCCTTTTCTCAGGAGCTGCCCCCTGCATCAACCTCTCATAGTCCTAATTCTGTCTCAGCAGCCACTTCCTAAAAGAATGGGACTGACACATAGCAGACAATGACTACAAAACAAGAGGAAAAAGAAGGCTTGGAAACCAAACCACTTATCATCCTGCTGGTAATGAGAACCTCACGCCAGGTGGGATATGAGACATGCATGGACAGTCCTTGGCACAAGCTGGTGGTCCAAGCAATAACACTTTCACAAGATCTGACTCTAGAGAAGGTTCCCAGAACGAAATCCTCTGGTTGCTCTAAAGACTGAAAAGTGTGAGTTACAAGAACAATGAAGTGAGCTTAGCTATTTTATTTCACTGAGTCCCCAAAGAGGGCCACTAACAAAAGACTGAAAACTAAGGACTGTTAGGTGTCACACCAAGATCCTTATCGCTAGAGTGGGAAAGCAGTAAACACAGAGTAAGCCCAGGACAGATAAGACCAGTGTTTGAAAGGTAGCTAAATGGTCACCATGGGCGAATATGTTGTGCGTAGGTACAGGATCTTAATTTAGGAAACCAGAAGCCTGAAAGATGGGATAGGTCACCTAAGACAGTGGACCTCAAGGACAGTCACTTTTTTTTTTTTTTTTTTTTTTTTTTTTTTTTTAGTTTTTCGAGACAGGGTTTCTCTGAAGCTTTGGAGCCTGTCCTGGAACTAGCTCTTGTAGACCAGGCTGGCCTCGAACTCACAGAGATCCGCCTGCCTCTGCCTCCCGAGTGCTGGGATTAAAAGCATGCACCAACACCGCCCGGCCTTTTTCTTTCTTTTTTTTTTTTTTTTTTTTGCTTTTCAAGACAGGGTTTCTCTGTGCGGCCCTGGCTGTTCTAGAACTCACTCTGTCTAGAACTCTGTTCTGGCTGGCCTCGAACTCTGAGATCTGTCTGCTTCTGCTTGTGTTGGGATTAAAGGCGTGCACTACCACTAACCATCCAGTCATTCTTCTTTGAACCCTCCAATCTACAAGAATGAGTTAGTGCTCCCCATAGTGTAGGACTACATTTCAGAGGCCTTTGTCCTTGTTGCTATCCTCCTAACATAACAGCCATCATCTTCATCAGGGCAGCTGTAATTACATGCAAGAGACTCTCCAGCCTGGGCATTCTGGCAGTTGATAGTCCAGACAGAAGGAGTCTAACGTAGGTGTGTGCTGCCCCATGGTCTCAGGAGGGACTAGAGCATGGAGAGTATGAAAGGAGAGCTCTATGCAGCAATGAGGAAGTTAGCATTCATGCTTGGGTGAGACTTTCAGGTAGCCTCAGGCCACCCGTGTCACCCACGCTACTCTGAGTAACCCCTCATCCCACACTCTGTAAGTAAGCCCCAAAACTCATTGGTTTAGCAAGTAAGACTTTGGTTTGTCACTGGGACTTTATAAGGAAGCAGCCATTTTGCTTACGTCAGCTGTTTCTACCCCTGGAGAAAGCATTCTCACAACAGCCCTCTCCTCCAAGATAACAGGTTCTCCCCCACCCCAATCTGCTCTCACTTCCACTTCTGGCTGTCATGAGTGTAGTTAATGCCACCCCTGAGAAGGACACACTGAGCCTAAAAAAAGAAGAAAAGAAACTACATATTCCAAAAGAACTATAAGGACTAGCTAGCAAACCCAGCAGGATGTAGGACATCCACAGGGCTGTATTTTTAATACCATTAATCAAAGCAGAAACACAAGCCTGAGGTAACGTTTATGGGGGAGAGGAGTGGAGTACAAAGGAGACACTGTCTCAAAATTCAGGAGTTAATTCTGACACAGACCTAAGTGATGGTCTTATGGCTAGGATGGCTCTTAGAAGCCTAAAAAAGTGAAATGCCTGAATTGACATGGCAGAATGTAGGATAGGGTAAGGAAAGAGTTAGTAGAACAGATAGATTATGGAAGGTCAGACTATTCACCAAGGCCATCGAGAACAAAGTCAGAGAGACAATAGCATCACTAAGATAAGAAAGTAGGTGGTCGTTTTCTAAAGGGTTTGGCTCATTGATAGGAAAAGGAATGAAGACATTGAAGCAATAGCAACCAGGTGGCAACACTAGATGTGAATCTATCATAATGACTGACAGGTAGGTAAAAACTAATACGCTAAATCCTCAGGGACCTATGCAGATAGTTAATGGGAGAGAGTATCATTAGGAGAAAAGTAGACAAGTCAGTCACAGTGCTGCTAAATATACACACTCAAAAGTGCTGAGGGTGATTGCCCCAATAAAAATCCAGTAGCCTCTAGCCAATTCCTGGACCTAAGCCAGTTGTCAGATCCAGACCCACTGATTCATATATACCCCTACTATCTGAAGAAATACAGACTCGGAACACCACATTAGTCTATAACATCAATGGCATGCCAGTTTCCAACATTCTGAATGACCTGAAAGATAAATACATTCCAAAGAACAGGATAAAGCATTTGTCTCTTCCTATTGATGAGGAATGGCTCTAGTACACTATCTCTTTGGGACAACAAAATTCATGGAGCCCAGTTCTTGATACTCAAATTTCTTCTATAAAATGGTATAGTATTTGTACATAATCTACATATATCTTGCTATGTTAAGTCACCTCTAGATTACTCATAATACCTAGTTATATAAATGATAGGTAAACAGCTATAATACTATGTCACTTAGGGAATAATGACAAGGGAAGGGGGTCTACACATGCTCAGTGCAGACACATTTTTTAGAATATTTTCAATGGATAGTCAGTTGAATCTACGCATGTAAAGTTCACAGACACATGGGTTCTGTAATCTCAGTGTAACTGTCAGGCTCAACCCAATGCACCCCCTCCAAATAGAACTGCTACTGCTTGTATCCCTACAGTGACTTCAGATTCTAAAGGCAACATGCTGTGCCCTATGTGGTGACAAGACAGGTTACCAACTTTGAGTGGAAAACAACTCTGCAGAATTCCAGGCTTTACTGCAAGCAGTCCCTAAGCCAGTGGTTCTCAACCTTCCTAAAACTGTGACTCTTTAATACAGTTCCTCATATTATGGTAATCTCCCCAACCCTAAAGTTATTTTCGTTGCTACTTCATAATAATTTTCCTATTGTTCTATAGGAAAGCCATGCTATTAGAACAACAGCATCTGGTGTCCTGGTAAGAGCCACAGTGCTTGGTCACTGGGCGCCTTGTGTTCAGAACTTTACATAATAAGTTAAGTTTATTAAGACCCTCGGATGCATTTGAGCTCAGCAGCAACCCACTCTAAGATGGAAACAGTATACCAAAGACCAAAATAAAACAGAACCAAAGGACGCAAACTACATAAGCAGGCAGCCAGGACTTCCCTGACAGACACCACCATTATCCGATCACTCCCTCAGCTCATATCTAGAGCTGTTTAGTGATCCCACAGAAACAACATAAGGAAAAGAAAAAACACTTAAGCTCAGTATGTGAACACATGCTGAGAACAAACAGTGGATTCATTTTAGTCAAACTTAAGGGCGACCTTGACACTGGAAATGAAAACCTCCCTAATTCCCTAAAAGAGCTTTAAATGATGTGTATGGTTATAAAGTTTTGTAGAAAGAAAAGTGGGATGAGAACACACACATTCATAGACAATGGCGAGTAGACTAATCAGTTGGTCCAGAGAAACACTCTAAGAAAAAGGAGCAGCCAGGCGGTGGTGGCACACACCTTTAATCCCAGCCTTCAGGAGGCAGAGGCAGGAGGATCTCTGTGAGTTAGAGGCCAGCCTGGTCTACAAGAGCTAGTTTCAGGAGAGGTTCCAAAGCTACAGAGAAACTCTGTCTTGAAAAACAAAACAACAACAACAAAAATTGACTGACCACATGGAATTGAGCACAAAGCATGAAAATCTGTTTCCTGTGTCAGGCTCTTCAGAAAGTATCTAATTTCTGCAGAAGAGTCACTGAACCACCAGATGTACAAAATGACTCAAGTGACATGTGCCACCTCAGAACTGGCATGATGAGGACATGAATGAATAGGTCACTCTGGCAAAAATAGAGATGGGAAAGGAAAGAAAACACAGTCTCATTTACCACACCTAATTCTAAACATTGCCAAGATCCCAATATAGCACTAAACCGCAGGCCATCAATGAGTGATTAGGTGGCAAGTTGACTATTCTGCATCCTTCCACTCTCAGAAGAGCCAGACTAGGTTTCTATTGCTGCAATAAAGACTTGGAGAAGAGTTTATTTTACCTTATAGCTCACAGTTCCACCACGAAGGGAAGTCGGGGCAGGAACTGAAGCAGAGGCCATGGAGGAGTGCTGCTTTCTGGCTTGCTCCCCATGGCTTTATCAGCCTGCTTTCTTATACAACCAAAGACCACCTGGGCAGGTACCAATACCACCAAAGGTGGGCCAGGCCCGTTCACATCAATCATTAATCAATAAAATGACATCAGATATGCCTACAGGCCAATCTGAGAGATGAATTTTCTTAATTGAGGTCCCCTCTTCCTAGATGACTCTAGCCTGTGTTGCGATGACAAAAAAACTAACCATGAACCAGTGACTGAGTCTCACAGGAATAGGCAATTATTACAGGTCTGGTTTGTCTTTCCAGCCAGTAAGAGCCTAGACTAGCACCACTGCACAGGGCTCGCAGTACCGTCTCTGGTTTGGAAATGGTCTGAGTTTGCTCCCCAAGGCTCCATGTGTTGAAATTTAATTCACATTATAAGGAATTGGGGAGCAGAAACTCAACTTGGGAGGCAGAGGCAGAAGCGGACAGATCACATGAGATCACAGATTCAAGGCCAGTTTGATCTACAGGGAGAGTGCTAGGCTAGCCAGGGCTGCACAGTGAGACCCTGTCTCAAAACAAAACAAAATACACAAAGAAACAAAACATAACCCAAGAAACAGAGATTCCCAAATTACCAGAGTGTCTGATGTCCTACTGAAGGCACAGCTGATATGCCAACTCAGAGAGGTAAAAACATATACGATCCTCATATGCCAACTCAGAGAGGTAAGAACATATAAGATCCTCCAGTACAGTGGTTCTCAAGCTTCCTCAAGATGTGACCCTTTAATACAGTTCCTCATGTCCTTGTGACTCCCAACCACGACACTATTTCGTTGTTACTTCCTAACTGCAATTTCACTGTCATGAATTATAATGTAAAAGTCTGATATGCAAGCCCTGTGAAAGGGCCGTCCACACTCATAGGGGTCACAACCCACAGGTTGAAAACTGCTGCTCTAGTATGCAGCATAAAAACTAATTCAGAGCTGTATTTCCACCTGTAGGATATTCCATTAGCAGAATCATGTGGTCTTAGAAAGAGATGGAAGAAGAAATGCCCCCCCCCATCATAATTTCCAGTGACCCACTGAAGAACTTTGTGCTTTTCATCCATGCAATGCTGGGCTCGACAGAATCAGAGAGCTCCTGCCACAAGTGGCATTCTTCCTTGCCGTGGACCATGCTGGTTGGTTTTTAGTCAACTTGACACAAGCACAGTCATCTAAGAAAAAGGAACCTCAGTTTAAAACATGCCCCATCTGGCCTGTAGCAAGCCTGTGAAGTATTTTCTTGATTGATGATGAATGTGGAAGGGTCCAGTCTACTGAGGGTGGTGTCATCTCAGGTCAGGTAGTGCTGGGTGTGTAAGAAACCAAACTGAGCAAGACAGGAGGAGCAAGCTAGTAAGCACTATTCCTCCATGGTCCCTGTTTCAGTTCCTGCCTTATCTGCCCTCATTGATGAACTATAAACTGTAAGCCAAATAACCCCCTTCCTCCCCAATAGTTTTGCTCAGTGTTTAGTCACAGCAATAGAAAGCTAAGAGACACATGGAAGACTGCAATGAACTACAACTTACAGCTGGGATTCCCTATATCCAGGAGGCAGAAGAGGAGCAAGCATAGCTACAGTTAATAACAGAAACAAGGAGAGGTAGTTGTGGAACTTAGACATTCAGTAGGGTGATAACTTATATTCTTCTGCCTAACTATGAATTCACAAATACAGTAACTCCTGCCTGAGAAGGTATGGCTCTCAGACCTCTCAGGAAAATGTGGGCCATAATACTAATAAGCAGTCAAGACTAGGAGAAATGACAGCTGAGAGCAAAGACTTTATTTAGACCGAATAGCAGAGGAGGCAGACAAGGAAAATTGTAGCCTGAGATCAGTTACAGCAGGGGGGGCTGAAACCTACCTCAACAACTTCCTTCTACCTTTCCCACTAGGAAGACAGTCCATGGATCCCAGGATTGCTGCTCTTGGAAAGTGTGTAAATACACCAA